TGGTGCTCTAAGTAAACTTGCTCTGCTATTTATTTTATATATACCATAGAAGTTATAGTCATTTTTGTTTTGAGATTTTTAGAGTTTGTTTTGTGTATGTGATTTACGAAAAGAGTTATTCTAGTAATTTTTATTAATATAATAGTGTTATATGACAATGGTCCCAAGCCTTATCCTTAAGGTCTTTATTATCTATATCGAATTTATCTTTACATATCCAGCAGGTATTTGTTTTAGCAAAATTTTTTTTGTCTTCTTCAGTCTCAATTCGGTTATGCTTTATAGTTAAAATCCTATTAATTTGAACTAATTCCTTATCAATTCTTTTGACAAATTCCTGAGTAGCATTTTCTCCTCTATATAGAAATAGGCCCTATACCTTTCTAGTATCGATCCAGTGAACCAAGTAGCAAAAGCTATTGGCCTTTTGTTTAGCAAGCTTTCACATTTGCCCTCCATATTTTTTATTGCATTTCTTATTATCAGCCTCAAAGTTAGCTATAATAATACATGGAGCATTGATCATTCGTCTATAGTTTTTAAATTTTTCAAAATCATTAACATTCTTGATAGGTAATTTGACTTCTTGAGTTGCTTCTTCTAAGCCAAAACAGTGCTTTTGATGATAGGCTAAAGATTTTTCAGAATAAAAGCTTTGAAAGTATCAGTTGCATAGATGCTTTTTACCACAATGTTTTGTATCTTTAAATACTAATCTATCTGGGTTTTTGATCCAAAGAAAGTAATTCTTTTGCCCATACTTATTATCTTTAGATTTGGTTATATCTATAAGAGCCATTAGATGTATAACATGTTGTCTATTATAGTTTTTGCTAGCTATTACAGGTTTAGGAATAGCTGATTCCTCTTTCTATCTCCAGATATTAATAGAGATATCAGAATTCATCTCTTCTATCTTATTGAATATATGTGAGCAGATTGGAGTAGGCATAGGGATTCTATCTAAATTGACTATATCTAAGTATTGCTTATAATCCTTTTTTGTATATATTCATTCAAAGTGTTCTGTATATTCATCTTTATGAGCAAAATAACAAGCTAATGCATCTTGAAGACAATTATCAGATAGTATATCTGTAACTAGATCGATTATTTTTGAATTATCAGGATTGATTGTACATTTGGTATTAGCAAGCTTCTTTGGAGTCGAGATATATGATCTACTAGTTTTTTTCCAATAAGTATAAGCTTCAATAGTTAATATTTCAATCCTTACCAAATTCATTCTCAATCCTTCTTGTATAAATGAGTCTATAGCATTATCTATTTTTGATATAGATAAATTTATATATTTATTGATATCTTCTTCTGTAAGAATAACACGCATGAGGCTTCTGTGATAAGCAATTACAGTTAATAGACTTTTAAGTTTGCCCTTCCCTTTGCTAACATGCCCAGAATATATACATTGAGCAATTAATGCAGTTTTTATTTGATCTTTTTTATACAATTCAGCTTTAAGGACTCTTGTAATTTATTCTCTTATATTTGCTATAAGCTGGGGTATATAGGGCGCTTCTAAATATTTATTACAGTCCTCAACATAATGATTGAATTGATATTTTATATTTTCAGAGGATGGAATAACTGCTTGCTATAAACTTATCATTGTTAAGTTCTGATGGGTCTTAAAGGATCTGAATTAGATTCACATTCTTCAAATATTAACTTTTTGTTCGTTAGTCTATAGTTTTTTTTTTACTGATTTACCACCAAAATTACCTTCTATCTTTATGATTTTTCTTTTTAGATAGTCATAGAGCAAGGTTTTATCTAATTCAGCCCATTTTTCATCAGTGCTTGCATTATATCTATCTTCCATATTATCAAACCATTCTATATCATTTTGAGGTAGATTTGAAAAAATATTGTCTGAAGATATATTTTGAGTAGGCAATAAGGATGCATCATCTAATTGAATTAAATCACTTACTGGACATGGTTTTGTATCAGAATTTGATCTGTAGTTGAATTTTGTGGTGGAGCTACAATAAAATTTGGGGTATTACTAGGTTTGCATAGATTTTTTCATTTTAGAT